CATCACTCCCGGCTAATTTTTGTATTTTTAGTAGAGATAGGGTTTCACTATGTTGGCCAGGCTGGTCTCAAACTCCTGACCTCAGGTGATCCGCCTGCCTTGGCATCTCAAATCCCCACAGAGAATGATCAAAATCTTCTAGATCATATGAGTCTATGTTAGTAAGAAAGTTATTTCATATAGTTTAGATATAATCTTTTTAAAAAGTCTGATCATTGGTTCTACTCTTATAGGGCTGCAGAGAGTGGAGATGGAGGAAGCAGCACAAAATCTGAAACAACTCATATGATGTCCCACAGAGAATATCTTCCCACCAATTAAGAAAACTTGGTTCTAGTGAGTACAATGATCAGGAGGATGTCAAAAATAAAATAAAATAAAAGAGGTAGATGAAGACTGAGATTAAAGACATAAAATGAAGAAAGGATCAACAGGATTTGGTAACAGAATGATACAAGATAATTTTAAAAAGAAAAAAATAAAAGGAGAAGAAGTCGATGGAGAAATTGATGACTCCCAGTGTAGGTGACTGGGAGAAACTTCAGTAACATCTTTAACAAAAATGGCAAAAAGTCCAGAAGTTTGCTGAAGAGACAAAGTGAGTTCAATATTATTTATGCTGCCCTTCAAACAATAACAGAAGTCAGATGGAAATGTCTCAAGAAATATATTTGGAGTCATCACTAAAATGTTGAGCCTTTAAGATAGAATGTTGTTTCCCAGGAAGCAAGCAGTGCAAGAGTGGAGAGGAGATTTTGAAGCTGGACCGTGATGTGCTGGCTCTGATTCAGCTGAATCCCAGGGAGAAGCAGCAGGTGCATGGCCTGCGAGGAAATCATTTTGGAGAGAAGCAAGTAATAAGGAGTGTAAAATCTGGCACAAATGTAAATGTGAATAAAGACAGGGGAAATACCAAGATTTGGATAAGAAAAAGGTAATTGCTAACTTTAAGAAAAATGGTTTCAATAGTGTAATGGGAATAGAAGTGATATGAACGAGAATTTAGGAGAAATGGTGGTAAGCCGCTGATGGGTAATGGAAGCTGTGAACATTTATAGAAAATTCAATGAAGTAATAGCCATCAGTGTTTTATAATAATCGTAATCTATCTAAATGAATTGCAACTTCCAGTAACAATTCAGGAGCAATACATAAGAGGTATCGATAGTGCCGTATTATTGCAATTACATTGTTTCAGCAACGGTTAAAAAAAAAACGTGTAAATCCAAATGGAAACTCTTGATATACACATTTTTCTGAGGAAGGCCAAAAATTGTCTCTGAACTAGAAACAATACACATCTGTCTGGGTGCTTTCCATTTCAACTGAAAAAATATGAGAATTTGAACCAGACAATTTAGTAACCCTCTTTCTGGTACACAGAATGATTCTATGCTTTTATCAATATCCAAGTCTAAACAGAAACAAAGTCCATGGTGAGAACTTTTATTAGTGATAAATTCCAATACAAGATACTCTGGAAAAACAGAAAACATCAGTGTTGGTACCAAAGGCTTCATAATCCAACACTTAATAGTTAGGTATTCAGGATATTGAAGTTGCATATGTGGTGAAGTCTCAGGATCTAGCTGCATTTATTACATAGGACGCACATTGAGCATGACACTTATGTACTTACGTGTACATAAATATGGATTGATTGATAAATGTATAGTTGATATTTACTAAGGAACTCATGGAAGTCCAGCCACTTTAATAGACCCATAATGTTGAAATTAAACCAAAATAGTCCATTTGATTTGTGAAAGAACCTTTTGGGCTTTTTTGTTTTAGAGATGGCGTTTCGCCATGTTTGCCAGGTTCATTTTGAATTCATGGTCTAAAGCGATCCTCCCGCCTCGGCCTCCCAAAGTGCTGGGTTACGGGTGTGAATCACTGTGTCTGTCCTATATAACCTTTTGTTTCTGCTGTGCCTCTTTTAGTAAATGAAGTAAATTATACTGTTCATTCCAACAAAAATTACCTTTTTTGATGTGGTTGTTTGTGTTGAACTATAAGCATTTGCCAAACTTTGTTGAACAGAGAAGTTCAAAATGGCAACACAATTCCAGTAAAAAGCAAAGTTATGGCCAAGCTCAATAAAGAAAGTAACCTAGAAAGATCCTCTACTGCATTAGCAGGGAGACTCTGGGGAGCGCAGCTTTATGTTAGGCTAACAGAAAGTAGGCCTATTACAATTACAATACCTCAGCTGAAGAAAAATTGCCATTACTTTACCTTTTTTTTTGGCTTTCAATTAAAAACTGGCTTTAGAAGAGATGAGCCTTCTTTCTTAAAAATATATATATTTCTATGTGTTAGGATGAAAATATACAACACACACACGTACACAGGTTAATGATGCTGAATTTAAGAAGAAAACCAGGGAAATATATCAGAACCCTTGGAAATATAAACATCTTGTCATTAAAATATCCAGATGGAGGTGGGGCGTGGTGGCTCACGCCTGTAATCTCAGCACTTTGGGAGACCAAGGTGGGTGGATCACGAGGTCAAGAGACGGAGACCATCCTGGCCAACGTGGTGAAATCCCGTCTCTACTAAAAATACAAAAATTAGCTGGATGTGGTGGTGCACACCTGTAGTCTCAGCTACTCGGAAGGCTGAGGCAGGAGAATCACTTGAACCCGGGAAACAGAGGTTGCAGTGAGCCGAGGTGGCACTACTGCACTCCAGTCTGGTGATAGAGTAAGACTCTATCTCAAAAAAAAATAATAATAAATAATAATAAAAGAAAAAAATATATCCAGAAGGAGACCTCAGAATCTGCACTCAATAAAGTAACTAGGTAATTGTATTTATAAAATAAACTGTCTCAATTTATACTACAAAAATAATCATCACATAATTACATCCTAACATTTTGGAGGCTTTTATAACTCTTTAAAATTCATGTGCAGTATTTGGACCAATCAGGTAAAACGTTACAAATATTATATTTACAATTACTTTCCACTATATTTTTCTTCTGAAAAACTACTCTGTTTGCAGAATTCAAGCAGCTTTGGCTGCTTGAAATCCTGAAATACCTTTGTGCTTTCAAAAATCACACTTCATAAAGGGCATTTATTCTACAGAATTAAAGTTTACTGAATAATAAATATACTTTAAGTGATGCAAGCTGTCAAAACCCTTGAATGTTGAAGTTAAAGCTGATAGCCCTTCATAATTTTTGTTGCTTTGGAAAAGGAAAAGAAGCAGAATGAGAATGATTAAGTAAAGGCAATTTCACCTTCCAATTTCTTCATCTTTGTATATTTGTCATAAATAACAATTTAAATATCCTCTAAGGTTAATATTTTCTGATTTGATATGAAAGTACAGAAAAAATTAATATATTCAGGCATAATATGAGGCAACAGAGACTGAAGCATCTTATTTGTAGCAAATTTTATTTTCAAATAACCATAAAAGTTATCCAATTACTCTTCAGGTTAATTTATAAGATCATGCAAAATGTAAACAGAAAGTTCCAAAAGAAAAAAACGTTCCTGACAATTCTAATATGTGAGGGAAAAGTACACAGAAATGCACACCAGGAACTTTCTACATATGGCTAATATCTGGATCTTTATTCTTGCTTGCTTTTTGTTATCTTAGCACAAGATAAAATGTAATGCAAAGAAGCAAAAATTAATCCAAGGGAGGATAAACTTATTGATGTGATACATGATAAGGGAGGGTTAACTATGTTAATATTCACAGAGAAATGTTGCAAGTAGGGAGTCATGTTAGATAAAATTATCTTATTCTGCAACACAGTTAAACAGAAATTTAGTTGTGGCAATAATGTTACTACTTACATCATAGTCATAGACTTTTCCTTGAGTATCATGCACAGTTCTGAAATTTCCCTCTCCCAACCTCACCCCCCACCCCCAACTGCCAGGGAACCTCATAAAATAAAATGGAAATCTTCCCAGAGGGCATTTAAAATAATATTTTAAGTTAGAATTATAATTTATTTTTAAAATAAGGTAAATCATAATATTATTCTGAAAACAAACTGTTGTGTGGGCAGAGCAAGTATTATTAAAATGTTTAAAATCAACAGCAAACCATTAAACAAAACTTCCTATTTTTGACATTGACTGGAAGCAAAGGGCTGTGGCTTTACATTAGAGGCATTTTATTTATATTAATATTGAGAGTTTGTTCCCAATTACTAAAAACAGAAAATATATCTAAAAGGCCAATCCAGAGTTTATCTACATAGGTGGTTTCAAAGAAAATTCAATGATATTTCTTCAATTTGGACTAAGTCCTACTGTGCTTATTTTGCCCTGTTGTGGAAGAGACTACAAAATGTTAAAGCTATTGAATGAGCTCAAGAGTATACGCACTCTCTACAAGTAAAGCTAGCTTTGTTTATAACATAGTTAAAATTTAAATAGCAAAACTTCATACAAAATTAGGTGTTTATATTTATTTTTTACAACAGTATTATCCCTAATATTCTCTTTAAGAGCCTAGAATGACATGATTCCAAATTTCCATTCCAGAGCTTCCCAGTTCTAATGCTTTCCACCACAACATGCCTTGCAGTCACACTGCAACAGAAAATGAGATGATATTTATATGTGACTAATAAAAAACAATACTTTGACTCCCAAAAAGGGTTATTATAAAAGAATGTATGGTAGATTCCACTGGGATTTTGCTTAATAAAGCTATTTATGTTTTAGGTGATGAAAAATCACCTAAGTTTTAAAAGTGTTTGCTTTGGGTCCTTTATTATGGAGTTTTATCCTTATTTGAGGTATCAAAAACCTACCCACTATGTAAGTCAGTATTAAGGTGGCTATTCAACCAAAGCGCACAGACACTAACTCTCCGTGAAGCTTTTTGCCCAAGATCAATCTGCCAGAAGTTAGACTAACCCAGGCAATTGGGAGGTAGAAGCTATGAAAATTTAGTGCCCTGCTCTCAACTAAGAGGTCCACATTTTTCTATTCCACACCGAACAGTAAGTGTGCAGTTGCTCAGACTCAAAGACTGCTTTACGTCACAGTAAAGCACAATAGACCTTACAACTCTGCCTCACACGCTTTCTCTTCCCACTCACATAATTAGTACTCCTTTCTCTCTCTCTCTCTCTTTTTTTTTTTTTTTTGGTTTTAAAAAATGTGCCTGTTTCAAATTTGTATTATTTTTTTCAGATGTCTAATTTCAGTTATGTTCTTTCCCTCTCTGGTCTCTTCCTGCATTTCACATACCAGACAAATATTTAAAGGTCTGTAAAACCAGGCGAAGTTCCAAAATACTTCTAAATGAAATTGCCATAGGTGACAGAACAGCGAAAGAAGGCAAGACTGTAGGGCAAAGATTTGAATAAACTGGCTGGAAATGCATTGGAAAATCTATTTAAGCTGCTATAGCTGTGGATGAGGTTTCAATGAGGCATAAACATTCAAGTTACTGACAAAACCAACATGATTTGTGATCACTCAAAATAGTCTACTTGTCGTGGTGCATTGCTTTTTTTTTTTTTTTAGTAGTAAGTTGCTCTCTCTTCTTTAAAATTTTTTCTTTTTAGTATTCAGGAAGTGAAAGCATTTAAGAAAACATTCAAAATTCTGAGAATACATGTAAGTGAAATATTTAATGTCTCATTCATAAAATTTACATCATTTACATAGGGTTCATTTGTATATAATAAAAATTTCATCATAATGAAAAATTTTCTGGAAATTATATGTTAGCTTGTTTAACATATGCTTTGGATATACAGCTAAATAGGAATAGCTAAAAATTTATTCTTCAAATATTCCCTTTAACAATTAAAAAAACCTCATTCCTAAATATTTGTCTGTCTTTCCATTTGCTTTTTTGTTTGTAATAATCATATGTAACTTGAACTATGCAAAGATTGGATCTTTTTATAGTTCAGAATATATTTGTATACTTCAATAAATTTGTTCATTGCATAGCAAACATGTAAACTCACATAGGATCTATAAATTTTACCCTAGTAATCTAAAAAAGTTGCTGAAATTTTGCACAATAGTTTATTCTAAGATTTATTTTGTTGTAATTTGGGTTCACTTTATTTTTTATTTGTAATACATGTGGTAATTGAATACAACAAATGAAAATAAGTCATGAAAAGGTAAAAACCAAGTAATTTTATCTTAGATTACCAGAATTTAATCTCATTATGCTGTTTGTATTTTTTCATAGTATAACAAGTTGTAAATGTACTGTGCTGCCTCTTTAAGTGTTCAAAATTAATTTCAACAGCGTGTGTTTAACATAAAGTTAACTATGTTTGCATCAAATAAATGTTTATTAATGAAAGCTATTTATCATACAAGAAACAGCAAAGATAAGTCATCATACAGAGGTGTACACTAGAGGTGACATATGTAAAAGTGCATGCAGAGATTTCTGTTTAAAAAGGAAGTAATAAACAATAATACTAAAATTACTGGGGTTTGATCCCTATACTCTTAAATGGGTGATAGCTTTTCTTTGAATTTACAGTTGGAAAATGCCATTAACAGCACTAATACACATTAGCAAGCAGGTGAAATGAACGTTTTGGACTTTATTTTACAACTATTTGTGCTTGACAAATGTGTGAAATTTTTTTCAATAATAATTTTTTTCAAATATGGGGTGGGCATATTACTGCCAGGTTGCTCTGGTTTTGTACATGGTTTATCTAATTTTGTTTAAACCACATAATGTCAGGCCTTCAGTTGTGTTAGACACCATAAAGAACACAAGTTTCGTTAACATTCAGTAAATGACATTTAAGTCTCTCTCTCTCTCTCTCTCTTTTTTTTTTTTTGGCTCAATAAATTTTTTAATGTATGATTATCATAACCTAATAGTGCCTTTGTCTTCACTGCAGTGGATTTCCGATCAAACTTTTCCCCTTCTTTTAATACTTTAGGGAATTTTCAAACGTCGGGATGTTTGGCTGTAATGCCCCAAGATTTGTTCTCCCTGAAAAAAATCATAGTGACAATTTATTAACTACAGAGCAACTTGGCTTTTAGGGGTCTGCAATTTCTATTTAGATTTACAAATATCCATTTGTGCTCAATAGACCTAACATGAAATCTTAATCATATTTAAGGTTTCTTTCCATGCAATTACTTTATATGCTAGTTAGCCTTTTTATTCTAAAAATTGGAGTGAGTCAAATCAATGGGGCATTACTTTTGTTATAAGCAAATATATTCAAAGGTATTTCTAGGTTGAATTACATTGCATGTGCAACAATGTGTAACATTTCATATGAATCAGAAGTTTGGAAATCTAAAAACTATTTGTATGTTTAAATATTTCTAAAAATTTTGTATTACCATTTGAATAGCTTTTATATAGATGCTGGAACACACTAGTACGGTTAAAACTTAAATAAAACTGATGGGAAAGAAAACTCCTTAGATTCAAAATGGTTTATTCACACAAATTTAATAGGATATATCACAATTGTTTGGTCCATAAATATTTAGGGGAAATAGTTTCTATACAATGCATTTATCAATAAACAAAGAAACATGGACAATTTTGCTAGACCACTTACTGTACTATAAACACGAAGCTCAATATATAAGATTATTGAATTTATCAACTATATTTGAAAGAGTGCACAACTGCTTTCTATGACATGTTTGTCCCCTCTAACAGGATACACCATAAAAAGAGTTTCAGAAATAAGAGGTAAAACAGTACAAAACTAGTGAGGTGTCAAAAGGGCTTAAAACAGTTAATTTAACAAACAACACATATATCCTGATTTTTCACAAACTTACTTCCAAGTTATATCATAAGGCACATAGGAGAACTGAGTTATAATTAGTCTACTTAATAAAGTAGATCTGTAGTACCATATATTGTTCTGTCAAAGAACAAAATTTATAAGTGTCAATATTTTACCTGTAAAAGTGTATTAATAAGATCTCAGCCTTACCAAGGTTGTTTGGTCTGGTTAGTGGTAAATGCCCAAAATGTAATAGAAATATGAAAAGTCAAGATTTAAGCTCCATATAAGATGATAACCATACTTGCTAAATATATAATGGCAATCACACCTTTCTTCTGTTACAGTGTTAACTTATCTTCCATCATCTTTTTTTAAAAAATAAGCTACTTTCTGTGCTAATTTTCTAAAGACCCTGAGCAAAAGTTACAATAATGCACTTTAATGTGGGCAGTGAACTGTCAATATGTAACCACACATTTATACAGCCAGAAGGACACCTTTAACATCTATTAAATAGCCACTTCGACCACCAAAGGAGATTTAAGGGGTCCAAAAAGTGGAGAATATGTGCAAAGTTATTCTTAACAATCCACTAAAGCAAGACATATATCTTGACTTCTTTTTTATTTTTTTTAGGAAATCCACAATCTAATTGGTATTTAACTACAACAGAAGCGTAATAGATGAACATTCACCACTGCCCAGACCATTAAGATTTTAGCTTAAATTAAAAGAAAAAAAAATACTACTGTAAACTAGGAAATATATTCAGATCAGCATCCACAAGGCTTCTGAGTTTATCTACTTTAAGACTAATAACTTCAAATCTCTACTATCAGAAAAACTATTTTCAATACATAAGTCAACCTATGTCAAAATAAAATAAAACAAAACAAAACCGATTGTTGGTATAAGTCTACCAGGCTGGGTATTTTAAACATTATTCATATAGAATGCCAGATACAATATCATGGTACAGCTGAAGCCAATTAATAGAGCTATTAATTAAATTATACTGATTTTTTTACTTCTTAAAACATTATATTTTGCTTATTTCCATTTTCCCTGGGAAAAAAAGTAACTTAGAAAGAATGGTTTCCGAGCTATTGAATTTAGCTTTAGGAGGTTAAAATTATGGAATGTCAAAATCTATGCAGAATTTTCATGGATACACAGGGAGCTTAAGTATTTTTCAAATGTTGAAAAACAAATAGTCAAGTAAAAAGTTTTTAGAGATGTACACCCCTAAAAGAAGGAAAAGTCACATTCCTGTAATAGATTTCTCACCTAATTAATCATTACTATTTTAAATGTCTGTAGTTAATGCTTTTATTTCATCATATTCCTCACTTGAATTAGCAGTTCAGCTAAGAAATAGAAACACTAAAAACAAGTTTTCAGTTTTAAGATTTAAAAAATGTAATGTTTTCAGAACTCCATAATCACACATACAATTGCAAGATTTAAAAAGTAACTAATTAATTATCTGGTTCTTTATTAACCTAATCATTGAACTGGGAATATGATTATTTGCCCATAATAATACCACTCTTTTTTTTTTTCTTCGAGATTCTGGAAATAAGTAACATACAATTTTAAGAGGCACTTATTAGAATTATTCAAAAACTCTCCTTACCAACTGAAAGACCTAATTAATATTTTTTTTAAAAAAATCCAAATACACTTTGTAGACAAAATATATTCACTTAAAGGAGACAATACTGTAAACTCATTTGCCAAGTGGCTGCAGATGCTACACACCAAGCTGTTATTTTTATTCCCCAAATATCTTGTGGGTTAGAAGAAAAAAAAAAAGTCTTGTAAATAATAAAATAATAATAATTAGAATAATAATAAAAAGAAGAGGAAGAATTAAAAAAAAAAAAAAAAAACCAATGTTAGAAAAGGTTCGTTAAGGTAGTTTGTGAGGGGCTTCCGGATTCGTGGCTGTCCATGTTAGAGGTCACGGATGTCACTACAGTGATAGTGGGATTGGTCAGGTCTGTTAAAGTGGTCGCAGTGCCGGGTGGAGTGAGAGCTCCGCTGTCTGCTGAGGGCGGGGCCGGAAGCGACGTGCCATCAGCTTTATCAACACCCCCATTCTCCTGCCGCAAAAGGTTCCTTCTGAATTTGGCTCGTGCGTTTTGGAACCAAACCTGCAAACCAATCCCAATTGATTTCTTTACCGATGTTCATTTTTATATTTCTTTTCTTTCTCTTTCTTTCTTTTTTTTTTTTTTTTTTTTTGGATATATGTTTCTTCTTTTAAATATAATTGTTTGTTTTTCTTAGGAGGAAAGGGGCTTTTTTTCCTTTCTTTTAAAACAAAGTTATTCAAGTAACACTACGGATTTATTCTCTCTCAAATGCACTTATTCCACCCTGTAGCATTAACGAGTGCCACTTGGAACAACTGATGCTTAAGCGGATATACCATGAAAATGAATACATGGTGATAAAGAGGGGGAAATACACGATGATTCCTCAACTGTTACGATAACTGTTGAGAAAGGGCAGGGCCATTGAAAGTATGGCAAAGTAAGAATCATTCATATGAAATGGACATTACTGAAACAGACTTCACGCCATTCGTGAGCCCAAAACACGGTGTATATTCTTCACATAGAAAAAACTCCCAGGGTCACAGACCTCAAACAGCCTGAAACTGTTTAGCAGAATTTAAAATGCCTGCTATTTGTCACCAAGAAGTGAGAGAAGATCACAAGTGACTTACAGCAACCTATTATAATTTCATTACTTATATGTTCTGACCATGATGAGTTTAGGAAATCAATTGGACAGCAGAACTAACTTCCAGTATTTTGTTTTTAATTATGGTTTGTTAAGGCAGGAAAATACTTGCTCCAATTGGTTGCTGAAACACTAACCATACTTTTGGCTTTTCAGGAGTGGAAAAAGGTTCCACCTGAATTTGGAAGGTGAGTGAGGCTGCCAAAAGTTTGCCGAGTTAACACAGTGCCAACAGGTCCCTCTCAAGTCTGTTCACTGAGCATAATATTAATGGAAATCTATAGAGCCACGGCCTGTGCAAATAACATCACTCGCATTTGCACAGCAGTGAGTCAAGCTGTGCTGCCTTTGGAGGGCCCATCTCCACATACGTAGAGAGAATGTGGCTGTATTTAAAAAGACACTGGGTCTCTGTTTGGGAACCCTCCAGGAAGCCCCTGCAAAATCTCAGAACATCCTCTAGGGAGATAGCTAAGATAAACTAGTAAGAAGCAATACAGGAAATAGCTGCATCACTCCAACCAGGGAAGAGCACTATTTTTACTGGCAAGGGGAAGGGAAATGTATGCACAGTCAATGATGCACGTGTCTTACCTGCAAAACTCTTTTGGTCAGGCCTGTTTTCTGGGCAAGCTGCTTGAGGTCCTTGGCATCCGGATTGTGGTTGATGGCAAAGTAGGATTTCATGGTCCGGAGCTGGTGATGCTTGAAAGAGGTTCGCATGCGCTTGGTCTTCTGTGAGGGTGGATAAGGCTGCTGGTCCCGGTCCAAGTGGTCTGCCTCATTCTCATTACAACCTGTTGCAGTAACAGTGAACAAACAACTGCTCAGTGGAAATTCTTGCATTAGCTGACATGATGGCAGGCTGTAGGACACTGCTATGGTAATAAAGCAGCAGTGAAAAATGCTGTCAACCCAATTATGAGTAGTATCTAGACAAAAAGAAAGAAGATCATTGCTAAAGTAAGCTGAACTTGTCTGTTAATGCAGATACAACCAAAGTTTATGCAATAGAAAAATATTGGTTAAATCCTGTCTTTTGCTTAATGGTTGCTAGAAGAATTTGAGAATATGAACAAACCCTAAGTAGTAAAGTGGGAGTGAGAGAGACCTACAAGAGTGAAAAGAAGAAACCCTTTTCTAATATAGTTATTTGTACCAGCTTCCCATCGCCTGCACTCACAGTGTTTTAAGACTCTACCTTTTGTCTGTATTTCTGGAATGAGACACACTGTCTGAAGGTACTGCTTCTTGTCATGAGACGTAGAGAAACAAGTATTACCACTCTCTCAAGTCTGAAAGTTTCTGAGAGCCCGCCAACTAAGGAAGCATCTAGGTCAGTTCTAATGGTTAGCCTTTTCTCATATTCCTAGAACTCTCTCAGTCAGGAAAAAGTTAGAAAAGGCTGAAAAAGGAGAAGTTAGAAATTTAAAATTTGTGAATTTCTTACGTAAACATAAGAATATTATTTGTTTCAGCTTTTAGCTATGACTGGTTAACGCGGAGCTATACCAGAAAGAAAATATTTTTCCCCTGGAGTGATTTTAATAAATATTTCTGAAAGAGAATGAGCCCAGACTTCCCTTCACACGGTTCATGCCTGAAGCGCTCCCCACAGCTCACAGTTGAGAGACACTGATGGTGCTTATTTCTAGGCTCAGATCTTAGTCCCTTTTGCTCCAGATGTGTGTGAGTGGGATGTGAGCTGTGCCCCTGGCTGGCCTGGCAGAGAGAGGGCGGCATTTTCTCTCCCCTTACAAAGACTTTCTTAGCACCAAGGGCAAAACAACCCAGTCTTTGAAACCAGCCAGAAAGTCATTATCCCCAGGATGTAAAGCTGCACATTTAAAGGGTCATTTCCAAGAATCTACTGGCTCTGCATAGGAAATACAATTGTAAAATGAAAACATTTTGTGAAATATTTACACAACCAACTTCAGCCAACTTCACACATTAAAGTGCATGGCAATTTTTTTTCTTTAAATTCTTCCTTCAGATAGTTACATAAATTTAGATCTAATCATCCTGCCTTGTACTGCTTTATAATAGAAAATCTAAAACCAACCTGATCATGTCATTCCAGGGAGAAAGAAACCTGAATCTTAAAAAAGGTAGGCATCCCTTAATATTAGCTCTTCCAATCTGCTTAATAAAATGTTATCTGCCTGGTAGGCTCTGTTTATAATAACTTTTTAAAACCTATTCAGCAAATCAGCATATTTACAGAAATACAGAAGTTTTGTAGTCATCAACCAAGAAGTCAGACACATATAAAACTCACTTAATAAGAAATTCCTCCTAATGTGATAAGACTAGATACAAACAAATGTCTAGTAAGTAGGAGGACACACTTGGCAAAAGAACAGGTGAGTCCATTGAGGGAAATGACTCTACCATATTCACCTTTGGACTGATTCCCTGAGTCAAATACAGGGGCAGGAGCTCAAGAAGCATTCAATCAAGACGTTGGGCCCTTTGTTCATCAGTAAATTACAAGTGGGTATTAATGCAAAATTAAATCAACTTGAAGTAGAATCCAAGTCAGATATACACATTTGAATGTAAAACATAGGCTTATTAAACTCCACCAGAAAGGGTACCATATGTCCAGGGATAACAGAAAGAGTATGCATTACATTTTATCCCATTTTGGCCCAGTGGGGATATGTCAAGTTCAAATATTCGACAGAATTGCAGTTTCATATCCTCAAATGGATGAAACAGCATCTCTATGACCTACTATCAAACTATACTTATCTCCAGTAAACTGAGCCATATTTCATAACCAGATTATAAATATACCCACAAAAAAATAGTCAAAGAGGCACACGTTAGTCATCGGAGGGTTCTTCAAGTAAGATTTCTTTCCTATCATATGTAACATGTAACCTTTCCTGAACAACACATCAAATTGAATTTTACACTTGGGACAGAAGACTTGGTGTTTAAATAATGCCCTTGGCCATCTTTCCCCCACTCCACACCAGGGTAATATATAGAAATGAATATGATTCCCAACATGACTATATAATCATTAGTTCCTAAAATGAAATTTATGAAAAATAATTATAGTAAGATTTGATGAAATTTCTTCCCTGAAAACACATTCTATATCCATTATTGCTGATTAAAAACTCAGCAGAGCCTTTTAATGTGTTTTAAATACAGTTATAGGCCCCATTTCCACACAAAATACATAATCCAATGTGTAAGGAGATAGCTTGTTGGGTCTTTATTAAACAGATATTACTATATATGATTTTCCTGTGATGCATTATCTCATATTATGCAACTTAATCGAGAAACTTATTTCTTCTACAGAGTAACAGTGCATTATCTGATATTATTTATGTTTAACTACACATGCATTATATAACTTGCAAATGACTGTTTCTCCAAGGCCTGTTTCTACAGCTGTAGGGGATTTCCCCACTCCCCGAATTATGAGATGAAATGATAACTCTTAAAACTGTCTTAAATATCTACCTGTAAGTTCACATATAATATTACAAAGTTAATGAGAAGATCTAAGTATTTTATTTCCAGTCACTTACGTGATGGTCACCCATCCTAAAGTGAGTGTCTGCTGTGGAAGGTATGTAACCTTCTGAGAATTAACTGATCCCTGGAAGACCACTAGGGGTCAGTGCCAGGCTAATTTAACCACCAGGAACCTTAAAAGTTTGGATAGGAAGAAAGGACTTAAGGAAAGGATATTTTGAGAAGTGGCCAAAGTTTAATCTCTCAATTAATGTTTAAATTACACAAATAAGAGCTCCCTATCCTAAACTAAATCTTCTTCTCATCCCTAGAGGGCTTTATTTCAAGTTACCATTTCAGGTAAACTTTCCATGTCTCTTTCTAAAATATTTGCCTGATTAATTTGCACAGAGGTATAAACGAAACTAGGGACTTTCTCATTAAAAGGCATTTGCCCTATGTCAAGCACTAGCTGGCCTTTGCCAAGTTTCACATCTTCTCTGAGATTCTTTGAATCACAGACATGTTTTCTGCACATTTTGAAAACATATTATTATGTAAATTATACTTAGTTTAGTATCAGTCTTACCCTTTATGAGACTTGTTTACATTTAATGTTTACATTTAATGAGAGATGGCAAGATAAAATCCAAAGAAGGCTAAAACAATGAGTTAAAACTGGATTTATTTTATTTTTTTACATTTTAACATGCGTTTAATTTGCTGAAGGGTTTCTTTCCCTAGTTTTGTAACAAAGTGGCATCAGATTCACAAGCACTGTTTTAAATGATGGTCTGATTTCTGGTCAGGAATCTTCAAACCAATTCCCATAGATAATTTTAACCTAATCTTTAACATATATATAATATTTACTAGTATCTCTGGGAAAAGTCCAGAAAGGATGGAGTAGATGTTAACTAAGAGGCATCCAGTTTATAGTGATGCAAGGTACAAACTCTTCGGGCTAAGGGGGCCTCAGCAATTTTTCCCTCCTTTGGGAGCAAGACAAAAGTGACCTTCTCCACAACAACTTGTAGCAGCATTAATTTGCAAACTAAAGACCTGAGGGGCTCCAAAGGATTCTTTTATTCTTCTTAAAAATAAATTTGTACACTCTAGTTATTTTCAGAGAAGTAAAATAATCTAAATGCTACTGTTCTTAAAGTTCCTTGGATCTAACATGAAGTAAGATCCAAGGCAAAATCAAATTTAGCTAATTAGATTAAATAAAGAATTAAAAAGTCAGGCTTGCCTACTGTTTGGCTAGAAATCTTCACCCTTCTGGACTTTATCTGGGCTGAGAGATCCCTTCTTTCCAAAAAAATCTCGCTAGTTGTGTATGAGTGGCACTCTCTCGCGCTCTCTCTCTCTCTCTCTCTCTTTCTCTCTCTCTCTCTTTCCCCCTCTCATTAGGGCATTAGGGCCTTGGTGAGTGGCTTGAGATTCCAATGTCATCTTCTATTAATAAAGAACAATTAGTGCCCTGCCTGCCCTGCCCTGGGGACCACGCATCAAAGAAGATGAAGTAAGCATGCTGGGCAAAGTGGTCCCTAACCAAATCTCCCGCCCCAGCACAGCAGGGGCCAGTGTGAGGGCACGGCCACTACTGAGGGTTGCCAAAACCTGGGGCTTCACCCGCTGCCCTCATACAGATTGACCGACCCTGGTGAGATTTGCAGTGAGCCGGCAGGTCCTTTTCTTTTCATCCGGCAACCCTGGTATGAACCCCCTAGGTGCAAGTGCTGCCGCACAGTGTTCCCCATTGCTCCCCATTGCTCCCCATTCTCCCTGCAAGGCCACCTGCTGTGCTTGCCCATAAAGGATTCTCCTCTTCTGTTAGATCAGGCGGTAGAGAACCCCAGGAGAGAGCCTAACAGAGGTCTGAGAGAGCAACCACTCATCCTGTGTAGGTTCTCCTGAAAATTCTAAACTCAGAGCAGGACCCTTAGCTCCACATTCACACTGGCTGTGTGATCTTGGGCAAATCACTTAACTGGCTGGACACTGTTCTTTACCTTGACTAGCAATATCAGGCACCATACCAGGCTCTGCGAACTGGAAGAGAAAAACAGGCAAAATCCTGTGCTCTGGGGTGCCCATGCGTGAATCTGGGGGCATTCAGAGTAATAGAGTGGGGTTGCCATAATAAGGTCCTCAACGTTCCTTCCAACAGAATGGTCTCCCCTGTCCTGAGCATCAGTCTGCTGAGATTCTCAGCCAGGTCTGGGCCAGGGCACTGAAAGCCAAAGCAGTTAAGTTCCTTAGGCTCCCCAAAAGTTAGCCAGGCCTTTCTAATACCTCTTTTTTCCAGTGATTGGGACTCACAAAAAGAGCTTCTGTTCTGCTCGGAGTTAGAGTATCATCTGCAGAGTGGATCACCATCCTCACCTGGAGGAGGGGAAATGGGGGCCTACTACCAACAATGGGAAACTGATGCATGTGAGATTGACACATGATAGGCGTGTCCCCCAAAGCAAGGAAGAATTGTTCTTGACTTGTTGCCTGCGGGTTGTTTTTAATGAAGAGAGAAGGTGATTGAGTATAGATGAATGGTCTGAGATACCGTTAAGCTTCCTCAGGGGGCCCGACCTGAAGGTTCTTTCAGTTGGCCAGGGGTCTGGATGTCTGGATGGTCTATCACACAGGGAATGAGACGGCTGGATGAATATCCTGACTTAGGAAAGACACAGGCTAGCTCAGCTGTGGAGAGTGATTCCCACCCCTACAACTGCTTTTTGCCAAGATCAGGGATTAGGTTTTTCAACACTCTTGCCAACCATGTTCCTGATTAACTTTGGGCTGGTGACCACAGCCTCTGACCCCTCTAGACAGACTGGGGTTGGGCTCTGAAGACTTTTTTTTTTTTCTTCAGTATTTAGAAACCTCCTCCAGGATCTATAATTTGGCCTCCACAAAGAAATTGCCCTGGGGCTGTTTTGCTCCAACTGAGAGCCAGAAACTAATGGGCTCATTAACTAACAGGCAACAACGATTTGGCTCTGCCTGTTTGGGGGAAATCACTACAGCCCCATAGTTATGGATGTATTTTTTGCCACAACCTAAATAAAGTGTTGCCTCTCCCTCCCCTCCCTCCTCCTCCTCCTCCTCCCTCTCTCCCTTCCTTCAGAGTGACAGGGGGTTGTGGTGAGAACAGAGGCATCGGGCAAAACACTCTTGCAGCAAGACTTTGGACGGGGAAGGAGCTCTACGAAATTTCCTCAGGGAGGCCGGGGCTGCGCCGGGGGTGAGGATAGGGGGCACACCTGAGTTGTAATTGACGATGTCTACTCCCAGCGCTGGGCTCTTCCGCTTCCGGGGCCGCCCCTTCTGCACGGTGCCCGTACCATTGAAGTAAGGCAGGGCCAGGCCGCCGCTCTTGGCCGCCAGCTCCGTGTAGCTCAGCTGCGGTGGATACTCTCCTTGCAAGAGGGTCTCGAAGTGGGCGCGGCAGTACACCAGGCTGTCCTTCATGCCGAAATGGTCGCCCGTGGTCAGAGTCTTGTTGCAAGTGGAGCAGGTGAAGCAGCTCAGGTGGTAGACTGAGTCTCGGGCGCGCATGACCATCTCCGAGGCGGAAATGCCAAGGTGGCAGCGGGCACATCTCTGCACAGAGAACCTTCTGGAAGGAAACAGTTGAGTCAGGGTGCTAGTTGAAGCAAGGCAAAGCCATCTCCCACCCGCGACACCTGGGCTTGGTCTGCAGTGGCCTCAGACTGGGACCTGGGAGGGTTCCAGGAGGACAGGACAGTGGGCATTAATTTTATTTGCCCATCGACCTTTTCTGATAAACCAAGACAAAGGATCCTTACATTAAAGTCAGAAGAATCGGGCAACTAAGTCTTAGTTTTCTTCTCTGTAAAGTGAACATTAAAACAAAATTTTTTAAAAATTTTAAAAAGCAAACCACTAGTTAGAACGATCTAACAGTACTAGAATATTAAATTGCCATGCCAAGTAAAAACAGTTAATCAATTACAAAATATTCTATGAATGAAGGAAGATATAATTATTCCTGGATGTGCGAGTGTGCGGGAAAACATGCCGACACAGTCCTGGAAAATGACGATTTTGTAGAGGAAAGGTTATTATTTTTTTAACCGCTTATCTTGTTTGGGCTGAGAGCGGAGCTAGGTCATCTGCACATAGTTCTGTCTTTCCCAATCCAGAAATATAACTGAGAAGAATCAATAAAGACGCCTGCTGCTGACTTTTCTCTCCAATCTGGCGGACATGGTTGTAACTAGCGATAAAAGGAACTCGGAACCGAGTGGCTTGGGTTTTGGCAATGGCATTTATTCCTTTTCATAGTCATTTACAGAGTCTTCTGCCACCTGCGAAAACCTAACACTCTGTTGCTGCTGCCCGAGCCACTAGCTCAGTTTCAAGGCGCAGAACTTGCCCAATTCGTAGCAAGCGGAAAACAAAAACCCAGTCAAGTCTCAGTCGACGGAGACCACGTCCATTTACTCTTCCCCAGATTTCCCCAAGTTCCTCCAGCCAAGCTGAGAAGTGATGGGAGCGCGTGGTATTCGCTGATAAAGCTCTAGACCTTGAATGTCCCTCCCACCCACCCTCACCGTCGGTCAGGGAGATTGCAGCTTGAAGGCATATGCAGTGGGTTTCCCTGGTCTCCGAAATGATAACCGCACCCAGAATGGGGCAAAAGGTGGGAGACGGAGAGGGGATTCTGGGCTCAGGCAGATAACCCCGCCAGGTGTACTTGGGCGGGCGTAAGAAGTGGGGGTGTAGGGGAGTACCTGTAGTAATCCTCCTTGCAGTAAATGCTACCGTCCTTGGCAAAGCAGGTGAGCTCGGACTCGAGGGCCAGCTTACATTCACAGCACTTCAGGCATCTCAGATGCCACTGTTTGTCCACAGCCAGCAGGTAGTACCTGTCCGAGATCTTGCCCCCGCAGCCGGCGCACAGGGCGGGCTTCTCCGGGCTAAGCGGGGGCATGCCCTGCAAAGAAAGCACACCGCAAGGCTGAGGAGGGCGCGCGGTGTCGCCGCACGACGCGGGGTTCTCCCCCAGGGAGACAGAGCCCAGGGCGTGCAGGGAGCGCGGCAGGGGCCAGGGTCCACTGCACAAATGCAAAAGTCGGGGAAAACATTTGTGATTTCTCTCTTTGCGGCTCGCTCGCTTTCTTCCGTATCCGCCTAAACCGGCATTCGCGTCCTCCCGGGACTATTAGCCTAAAGACATTCCGGCCATCAGAAGCCTCGCTTAAAAAGGACTGGGAGAATATTGACTATAGTTTGGGGGTCGTTTCCGAATTCAAATAAATACAAGCTAAAAATTGTGGCTTTCGACGCACACAAAATAAAACAACGGAAATGATTGGGGAGTGAAATGGAAATTTCAACGAGCACAGGTTATTTTAAACAAAAAATATTACAGTTCGATTTCTCTAAATTCTTATAAGCAGCATTGAAATCAAAAGCAAAGGGGAGATTATTGGACCTGTGCTCATAACTTGGTCGACTTTGTTTTGATTGAGATATATTTGGCAGACCCTGCTGTTCCCTAATTTTCAGGACTATTGGTCCCGTTCCCAATAAGTGTGTAAAGTGGCTGTTCCGAAAGAGGGTCCGTTGTCCAGCCCGCTCTATACAGTCCCCTCTTTCCCTAGCATCAACAGGCGTACAAACAAGACCTTTGTCTTGAAAATCTGTTTAGTGCCCAAGTTACGCTTCCCTTCTGGGTCCCACTGACCAGACTGAGGATGCCCCAGTGACCCCACCTTGAGGAGCCCAGCCCCACTGGAAAATTTGGGTTTGGGTTGCTACTATTTGATTTAAAAGTGATGACCAGAAAAAGGGAAAAGGAGTTAACCTCCGGACATTTCCCTCACGACTAGCAGAAATGGGTTGAACTTCCCCATGAAATTTCAGTGGGCCTGAAAAAGTAAAGTTTAGCCCTTTACTCTGACCAAGGGCCCTGGCACGGAATGAGTGTTACAAATATAGACACGTTCACCAGTTGGGATACTTGGCCGGACCCAAAACCCAGCTGACAGGGCTAGAGCAGTCTCCTGATTAGTTTGGGCTACAAGTCCTACTGTGGTACCAAAGGATCTACACAGCTATGTTTGGCTGAAATCATTTCCGGAGACTTCTGTAGTTTCCCCCGCTCCAGTTAGTAATCGGGAAAGGGAAGCACTTAGATAAGTAATTGGTTTTCTTTATTAGGAGGACATAACTTTATCATTATGGATAGTAGAAACAGTGGTAGTTGATTAGCTTGTTTAAGGGTTGGTTATAAAGTTCATGCGTTTCGACTGGGTGCCGCGCTCCTCCGTATGTTTTATTTGATTTCCCCCTACACATGACACCCGCCCGGTCCCGGCGCTAAACGTAGTGCTGTCTCGTTAGAGGGACTGAGTCAGGATGCCAGAAACCCTGAGATTCTCTCAGTTAGGGGTCCCAAGACCTGAGCGTCTAGAGAACTGGAAATGACCCAGTCGCGTCCGAATCTGCTCCAAAGGTCCGGTCATCAGGGCCAGAGACTAAGGCCACCTGGGGTCCCGCTTGGCTCGGACGCCCGGGCAGCGCGCCGTCCTCTTATTGCTTGCGCGCAGCTTACTCTCGGAGCTGCGGATCCTCGCCGGGGAGACTCCCGCCCCGGAATCAAGGGAACCTTGAGGTCTGTAGAAGAGAACGCCACCTCCCCACTCCACCTCCTCCCAGCTCCTCTCCCTGCTCTTTCGGAATCAGCTGCGACAGAGGATAGCCAGCTAATGAAGACATTTCAATTCAGAAAAACGACGATTCTTAGCCCTGCAGACCTAGATGGACGGGAGAAAACCCACCCGCCAGCCTCAAGCGGACGTCTCTACCACCCGCCGCCCCCGATCTCCTCCGGCCAGGGAGTCTGCTTGGCTTAACAGAGGGCGCAGGGGTGCCCGGCTACCGCCGCGGCGGAGCCCTTCCTTACCGCGTCGCGGCCGTTGAGCTGGGCGCCTTTGGCCAGACGGGCCTCAGTCTTGGATCTGCGCTCCATCTCCTCCATGATGCCTTGGATGTGGCCTCCGGAGATCCCGTGGAAGAGCATGGCTGGGGGGCGGAAAGGACACGAGTTGTCTTCTGCTCGGCACCCCACTATTTCCATATACACACGCCCGGGGCTTTCAGCTCATCCGAATGAGGGAGGCAAGGGACCCGAGAGGGCTGCGCTGTGGGAGCGCAGAGAGGCTCGGGGATGGAGGGAAAGAGGGAGAGAGAGGAGGAGAAGAAAGAGACAGAGTGGAAATCGGTCTGCTTGGGGGGCCTGGGGGAAGCAAAAAGAAGTGGGAAGAGTGGTGGGGGAAGCCTCAGCGGCTCCCTGAAGGAGATGTGCAGAAAACAAACAATTCGGGTGGAGGAGAAAAGAGGCGTAGAAGGCAAATCTTACTGCTCTGAGAGATCGAGTTACTAATGGGAAACAACTGCAGCGGGGGGAGGAAAACAAAATCTGGTGAAGAAAGAAAATGGTTTTGAACACAAAGAAAGAAAAAGAAGTGCTATTTTCAGCGTTCCCTGACTGCTTGCAAGTTCCCAGTTCCTGTAGGTTGGGTTGGGGACTGCTCCTGCCTGAGCTGTGTCCAATTTGTTAAGAGACTAAAGCCAGCCCATTTTTGATAATTTAGTAGGAGGAGTTCTCTCCCCGGAGCTGCCACGGATTTTTATTCAGACAACAAAGACCTGTCATACTCCTCTCAACCCCCTGGTGATGGGCAAGCAGGACAAACATTACAAAGGGGTGGGGGGATAGAGAGCGGGGAGGCAGGAGGAGGGGGCATTTACCTCCCCACAAAACACACACACACGCGCGCGCGCGCGCACACACACACACACACACACATCCAAGAGTTCCCAGCAGTCATGTTTTAAAGGGGAAAAGGAGCTCTTGTCCCCGCCCTGGTGCAGGAGGCCTAGAGCCCGCCTATTTGATCCGAGTTCAAGATCAGACCTTGGCTCAGGACACACAGAATATCAACTTCAAACTTTGGGTTTGCTCCTTGTGGACTTTTTCATCCCCAGCCTGCAGGACTGTCACCAGAAATGCATAAATATTGCGCAGAAATGTAAGCACTTCACTGAAATGGAGATAATGTTGGCTCCTCTCCTCCCCATCCCATCTTCCTCAATCCACTTTTAAAAGCAGCTGTCTGACAATGCAGGTCTTTGCCTCACCTCCTTGAGGACTGGAGACCCTACTAGGTGCGAGCTTCATCCAAAGTGGAAAGGGCGTTTGGAGCGTCTACATTTCGCAGGGTTACTTTTGGCAAAACAATTTTCTTTGAGAAAAGCAGAGTGTATGGGACAGGGCATGGACTTGTACACATGGGTAGGCCATTGAGCCTTGGCCATAGGGCGGCTTATTCTTTTCCCAGGTTCAGGTTTGAAGGAAGGCTGCCGGAGATTCTAATGTCTCATTTGAAACTTGCCAATATAGGAAGCGACTTGGGGCCTCCCGGGAGCTTGGCGCCTGCCCCGCAGGACTGGGCGCTAGCCCCATCGCGTGCTGCTCCCACTACCCTGGCAGGACAGGGGACTTGTAAAACTGGGCGCACCCGCACACTCAGAAGGGTGTGAAAGGGACTCTTTGCCTTGGAGGAGGGGAAGGTGAGAATGGACAAGCAGAATGGCAGACCTGCTCCTCACAAGAGGTGGGATTGTTCTGTCGCCCTCTGTTCCCGGTAGCGGCGGCCCCTCCCCGGCCCCATTAAAAAGTGTCCACAATACTCTTATATTGTCGATTCATTCAAACGGCCACAGGCCCCCTAGGGGCCCGAAGCACAGCGCTGCGGCAGCAACCAGCGTGGCTTTACCCAGGGAGGAGGACGCGCGGGCCGCTCTCTGCTCCTTTCGTCCGGGTCATCAGCCTGCGTTCCCCACTACTTCCCGCCGCCTTTCCCAGGACTGCGGTGCCTGTGTCCTGGCACATCCTAGACACCTCAGAAGAGCCACCCAGCCGCAGACCCGCTTCCCTCCGCCCGGGGGAGCCCGACAGGGAACTGTGGCCAAAGCTAGAAAGACCACGGGAGAAAATCCAGGGAAAGAGGGAGGAAGGGAGGGAGAGAAGAAAGAAAGAAAAAAGGAAGGGAGAGGATGAGAAGAAGGGAAAGGAAGGAAGGCAGAAATAAAGCGAGGGAGGAAGCGGCCCCTGGTGCAGCAGCCTGACTTCCTGTCCCAAAGCGTTGCCTTCTGAGGCTGCTGGAGTGGCCTCTTCCATGAAACTCAAGACTCTACTGCTTCCCCTCCTTTTTTCTCAGGGTCAAAAATAATGTTATTTGCAGACTGGACGCAGTTTAGGTCCTCCGGGTGCCAGAATGCAGCTCATAAAACACAATTTCACACAAAAATGAAGCCAATCAAGTGAACTAAGCTGGAGACATCCCCCTCCTCCTTACTTTGGCAGCTATACCTGACAGCAGGGCTGCTATTTACTGTAAGTAATGTAATTAGCCCCTTTGGATGGGAATCAATGAGCTTTTCAAACCCACGTGCACACAAGAAGGGCCCTGAGGAGGGGCTGGGGGCAGCAGTCCTTTCAGAGACAGCAGGTCCTCTCACAAAGGGGCAGATTGCCTTCACACAAGTCAGAGGCTAAACTGACTCAGAGCTGGAGGAGGAGAGGGAGAAAGGGGAGGAGGAGTAGGAGGAGGAGGAGTCTCTGAGAAATCCCCTCAGTCAATTCACCCAAGGAAGCTCCAAGCAAAAAGTAAATACAGGACTTCAACTGACTTTGTCTAGTTTCTGTGCTAAACCCTCTCCCAATGCCCAAATGGGGGTATTTGAAATTAGTTTTGGTTCTTGTTGCATATTGCCCTTACTCAGCAAAATCAACAACAAAGAACGCAAGAATACCACTGTTTCCTTGCAAGAGATACAACTTTGGAGACTGCATGCAGGGAAAGTTAAACAACTCCAGGAAAAACCCAGAACTTTACAGTCTCCAGGGAAGCCAAACATAGAGGTTTGTAAGCCCTCCAATCATCCATTCATTCTTCGATTCCACACGTATTTGTTAATCATCTAGGTACAGGCAAGGCAGAACACCTTCTGCATTCAGTTTCCAAGTTGAATCCTAGCTATTGTTGCTCTTATGAAATTCAGGTTATAAGTTCCTGCATTCAGTGGCATTTGCTACTTCCTGTAAAGAAGCAAACTGCCAGGATTCTTCCTTCGCGGCAAATGCAGGAAGTCTGGAGAAAGCTGGGGGTGGGGTGGGGGTCTGCTGGAGTTTGGGAGGTCCTTGTTAGCTCTGCAGAAATAGGTCCCCATGGGTCCAGACCTGCCTCCTCTCATAGTTCCTAAGGAGAAAGCCCATGAAGAGTGGGAAGGAATGCCCTCAAATTGGGTGTGTGACCCTGGGTTTTCTACTTTTTGTCTTGGAGTCCCCAAGAGAGATTGCCTAAGAGCTCCCCGCTCCTCATTCTCAAAGGACGTTAAGCACTTTAAATAAAGAGAGCATCTTTGTACTCCTTTCACCTCTCCAGCAGAGGGGCTGAGGCCCGGTGGCTGGTGACCAAAAAAAAAAAAAAAAAAAAAAAAAATCCCCCTTCTCCCAGCTCTAGTCTGAATGGCCCGCAAGTGTTCTATAAAAATTAGAGTGTTCATTTTTTCAGTTCCTGGGCTGCGCCACTTCCTCACTTGATGGGACAGGTGCATGTGGTTCTCTCTAACCTGCATCGGGGATAGGATCTTAAGTCTCCTCTAAATTCAGAGCTCTACCAGGGATAATGGGGCAGGTCCCTTGACCAGCACTACTCTCCCTCACAATTGAGCACACACAGTCCACTAAGCTTTCTTTCCTTTCTATTCTGACAGCACCCATCCCGCTACTGTTGCCACTTTTAGCAAAGTGGCCAGACTATAGTGGAGCATAGTAGGTGGAACTGAGAGTTCGAGATCTCAGAATCTCTATGAAGGTCAAGAAGACTGCAGCGCCCTTGCCGCAGGCTCAGGTGGGTCTACCTGGGCAAAGAACCTGAGCCCAGTAGAACTCCCCAGGGGAGAGGAAAGGGAAATTAAACCCACAGGACAGTTAGGGTTGAGAGGGAAGAAGTAACCTGACAAACGTGCATCTTTTGAGAGCAAAGGTGACTTAAGGTCTCTTTGTACCTGAATTTTGGAGGCCATGATTCTGTGCCTCTAAGTTTGCCCTTTAAAGAAGGAGGTGTTACCTTTCCTCCAGACCCTGTTAAGCTGGTTAAGGAGCCCCTTTGGTTTGAAAGGCGAGACTCTTAAAACAGTATCCAGCTTCTGGCAGTGTCCTGAGCACCCCAAGGCTCAGTGAAACGTCAGCGTCATCCTGAGGCTCGGAACCATGCGTTCAGTGCCATGCCACCTGTCCCTGGATGCCCGGGCTGCGCTGGATGGAAGGTGAGAGGATGGCCAGGACACGCTGGGGCCTTTCTCCAGATAGTGGAGACTGAAATACTCTATCTGTAAAACTTCCCCCTACACCTAGGTGGGCAGATCTATACTGAGGCTGCTACACGGGCGCACTTCTGATTCAGTTCTACTAGAGGGGCCTCCCTCAAGACAAACGGAAGTGAGCCAAGCAGAGCTGGGACAGGCGGAGTTCGGCTGCCTGGAAAGGGGCACCCGAGGCCACTCTCCAGCTGCACACCCTTGCCAGTCTCTCGCTGGGCGGTAGTCCCCGGCCAAGGCCCTGCCCCTTCGCACGTTCTCTGCCTACCCTCACCCTTTGTGACAAAAAGCCTCTCGCCGACTTTTGCTTCCTTCAAACCTCTATCCTCTATAGCCCCGGGGCTCTTCTCCCCAAAGGGGCGTGCGCCAAGTTTAGAATACAGCGCTTCTGAAATCTGATGCTCTTTTACCTGAGATTTGTTGCGCCGCCTGCCCTCAGCTCCGCAGAAATAAAGGGAGAAGTCCCGCACTGCGTCCGCTGAGATCCGGCGCAGAAACTGCTGCGCTAGGTTAGGACTGAACAACAACAAAAGAATGTGGGTGAAGCCAGTTTCCAGTTAACCCCTACCCGGGTGAGAAACGGTGTCTTTTCGGCCCCCCTTCCATCCCTTCCAAGAAAGAGACATCCCCAGCAGCTCAGGGGAGGGTCGGGAGCGCGTCCCTTGAGCCACTGACTACTGGAGGATCAGTGGAACCAGGACCTCTGCCTGGCGCCCCGGACCCTGATCCTGAGGAAAGTCGAAGACAGTCAAAGAGAAAGGCAAAAAGAAGGAAACGAAGGTTTCAGGAATCCTATCAGGAGACTCTGAAAACGAATGTGTTTTTTTGAGCCTACGAAGCGCGGTTTAATTTTTAAGACAAACACTCCTCTTCGTTCCACCCAGCGAAGGCGCACACACACGCACACACACTTACATTACATACGCACTGGCCCAAGGGGCAGAGAACATCGCAAGGAACCTGGCACATAACTCACCTGCCTCTAGAGTGGTACCGTTCAGCATTCTTGGAGGAAAAGGAGTGGATCACGCCGTAATGGTGGTTGCACTGGCAGAGAAAAGCCGCGCGTCAGCCGGGCGGTACGGCCCGGCTTCCCCAAGCACCTCCTCCCATCCGGTGGGGCGCGTCCAAACCGCTCCTCCCGCGGAGACCTCAGGTAGGGACTCGGCTTGGAGCAAAGCCGGACCTTCCTCTGGTAGGCTCCCAAGACGTCCCTGAAACTCCCGGCCGTCCGGGCGCACTCCGAGGGCAGAAAACTGCTCCGACTAAAACATCTCCATCAGGGTCTTACCTTGAGGTCCAGATGTCAGACGTTTCCCCCACTAGAACTCGGTTCTCGGCGAGGAAAGGCGGGAGGCGGCGGCCAGAGGTGCGGGTCAGTCCTCGAGTCTCGCTGAGGGTCCCTCTGTTAATCCA